GTATTAACATTATGACATTGAATTAATTATATATTTTCTGTACATTTCAAAACTGATGTCAGTATTGTACATTGTGGTTTGTAAATTTATTTGAATTTATATTTGGATCAAACGAGTAAAGGACTTGATGTCTGGCTAACAAGAAATTCCTTATTAAGAAAAAACATGCATTAAATACAATAACATCCGTTCCAAGACATTTAAATGTATCATTTCTTAATTTTTCCTCTAATTAGAGAAATCTAAAGGCCGCTTTTAGTGCCAATCTTTAATTATAACTACTCCCTGTTAAAAACAGAATCAAAGGTGCATTCAACCTTTCCGTTCTCATTGTGCACTTGTGACAACCGTAAATAACGCATACCGGTTCGGTTATGATTGGAAACGCATTTTGTTATGTACAGTATTAAAATATGAGATACAATCTACATGGAGCTGTCAAGCATATTTTGTGACTAACGCTGCATTCACACCGAATCTCAATTTTCGGATCGGAAAGGCTTACCGAACCGATCAAAAAATTGGATCAGTATGTATGAATGGATGCATATCGGAAACGCGGTCCGAATTCGGTTTGGATCCGATGTAAATACAGATTAAAACATTTTTTTTATGGTGATTAAACACATTATTTTAGGCAAGTCATAAATTTCGGCCCGGCTCAAAAAAGAGAAGATGGAGTTCTTTTTTTTTTTGTGGGTATGGGGGTGGGGAGGGGTGGTTGTCACAGGGTGCCCTCTACAAAAATAAGCGAGAGAAGACGGAAGAGAAATAAATGATGATGGAGGAGCACAACGTGTATGTGTGTGTGCGTGTCATCTTTGTCCCTGTGTGAATGTTGGTCTTTTCTTTTCCTTTTTGTGGCGTAAACAACACCTTTATTCAATATAATCTTCATAAAATCAAGGTAATACAATATTTCTATTTATTTAAAATAGCCTACTTTTTTTCAAGTTCTTTACATTACCTGTTTTCTCTTCTCTACCCCTCTCAACCCCTCTCCCCTTCTGTCTGTTCTCTTTCCCTTCTTTCTCTCTTTAGTAGAAATTTTACCCACCTTAATAAATTTCTTTGTTACTAACTTTATCACCTTTTTATAAATCTTTTTCTCGAAGTATTAAACAACAAAACATCAATAATATCATACATAATCATAATTAAAAAAGGAGAAAAAAAATTACATAGGCCTACAACAATTAATTGTGAATGTTGATCTTTGATGCTAGTTGTAGTGACAGCAGAAACACTACACAGTGATAGTGTAATAATACCTAGCTTTAGTCATGATATATATAGTCAGTGTATACAATGGCTCGTGTGCACTATAAAGAACCCAGTACATCCTTCGAGACGAGTAGGGGGATACCCCGGTGTACTGAAACAGTCAGCCCCTGTATAGTGGACGACCAGAGTTGCTGGTAAGGGTTTACCGGGTGCACAAGCACGAAGGGACCCTTAGGGGCGAAGAAAGTCATTGATCGAGTTCCTAGTCCACTGTAGATGGATATGTGCGCTATATAAACCCCGCTAGCAAAGCGACGTTGGCCCAACGTTGGTAAACGTGGGCAAGCATCGGTAATCGTCGGGGTCGGATATCTGACGTTGGTACGTCGTTGGTGTTTGGTTGCAAAATTTGGTCGGAGAGGTAACGTCAAACTAACATTGGAATTTGACGTCGGCCCAACGTATGAATATATTTGTCGATTTTCCGATGTCGTCCCAACGTTGGTAATCCGTCGTAAATATTCAGTGTGACTACGGACGTTAGTACAACGTCACGATTTGTTACTGGCCCGACGCACAGTGGGCCAGACTGAAATCAAAGTGTGCCAAAATTAATTGCTCATTACAGAAACAAATCTAAGCGAATACAAGACTTATCTAGAGGTTTTCATACCCGTAGAATTCAATAAAAGCATTTTCAAATTTATATGACGTCATTTTTGTACTGTTTTCTGATTGGACAATGTCAGTTTTCATTGTAATACCAAAATGAGTTCATATTGCAATAATTTTTTTAATGTTTTTTAAGGAGGTTTGGGACAAAAGAATTTCTGTGGGAAGCTTTTTGTATTTTCCATGACGTCATCAAAATACATTTTTCTGATTGGACGGGGCCAAAAGTGTTTTAGGCATAGGCCAACATTAAAATTTATATTGTTAATCTTACAGTGAATATAAATGGTTTTTTTTTTAATAAATCAAAATCGAAATCAAAATTTATAATAACACCAGACAACCTAATTTTACATCTTTTAAATGTAAATTGTGTTTGCATTTGAGATTCCATGGAATTATCAGACATTAGGCCTACACTAATGTCACGATAAAAGTATCGATAATGGTCGTTTTATGTTTTTTTTTTTTATAATTCTCAATGTGAACGAGGAGGCTTTGAAGAGCAACTTTTGCTATCCTCTTTGACAGGTAAACTGTACCACCAAAGGATATCTCTGTTCTGTGTCAAAACATTAATAACTTCATCAGAAAATGGAATCCTGTTGTCAAGCCACGAGTTATTTTCTTTAGAAACCCGGCAAACACGTGTTACGTTTCTTATAACGTTCTTGGCCAATGTTGTGGTTAGGTATGTCACAAAATAACGTTTACACAACGTTGTAGAAACGTGCAAACGTTGTGAAATTATGTTCAGTACGTACTTATGGTTCTACAAAATAAAGTTTTCAACACAAAACTGTAACGGTTTTGTCACGTTATCAAAACGTGTTATTGTTTGCTGGGAAGGTCGTTACTACTCGCGTAGTAGCTCGCCTCTCCTTAAGTTGAAACAGGAAGCTTTTCGAAATCTTGGATGTCTTTAAATAAAGTTAAAACAATTGACGCCTAGATATAGGCCTGCTTGTAGATATCATCTTCATTATGATATATGATATTTGGATTATTAGGCTGCTCAAAATTTAATAAAGCATTCTAAACAGCAACAAAATATTAGAAGATTTGCTACTGTTAAATCACGAGCAGTTTGTAAAATTTTTGGAGAGCTTTTCCCACGCTTTCAATGAACTGGTTGAGTAGACGCGCGTACATCCCTCTGATTTGCGGTTTGCTCTAATTAAATTGTGTCTCAAATGCACGAAAGCAAGACTAATAAAAGTGCTTCTAGCTCGCAAAGTTGCAAAAAGTAGCAGCTAAATTTGGTACCATCATCAAGCTAAGGCTATACTGAAGATGGTGATGTAAAAATTAAAGCATGAATCCAAATGAATCTAAACTTTCTCTCCTA